AAAGAAATATACAGGGTGTTCCGTTTAAAACTGGCCACCGATATATCTACTGTATCTGTGATCATACATAAAAAAAAATTAAAATTTTGATTTGTACACACTGTTATAAACTTTATATACTTGCTAAGTGGACAATCTTAAGTGGACAGTATTACATTGGTGATCTATTTAGGGATATACACAACCTGTGCTTTTCATCAGTTGTATTTCTATGAACTCCGTCCATAGTCAACTAAAATGCCTGAAGTAAGAAAATAAGTGTAAGGGTTGCAAGGCCATTGTGGCAAATCCAGTAAAATAACAACAGGTAACGTCCTCTCCAATTCAATCAGTCACTAACGTTCTACCGTTAACATCCGTCACTACCTTACCGGCAATAGATGACCTAAGAGATCCAATAAAAATGGAACACGGTCAATCACACAATACTTATCGACAAATTGGAAAATTTTGGCATTTCTGCCAATTTACTTAACTGGATCTATAGTTATATCACTGGACGAGCACAACACATAAAATTTCTTAACAACCGAAACGCATAATAATGTTGGCTATAACATACAACAGGAAAAATTATGTGCATACACATAAAAGAACATGGGTGACCTTGAAAAAATCATTAAAAAAAACGACACTTATAAAAAACTTTTGCCGTCATCCGTTTCGTCTGTTAAAACCATTTAAATTACATACAAAATATTTCTCGTACGATCACAGATAGAGAAGATATTTAGGTGGGTTTAAGCGAAACACCCTGTATACCGGGTGTCGCGTAAAAAATGGTACACAAGCGACTTCAAAAGTTCGATTGAAACGTTTTGTTCAATTCCCAAAAGCAATCTCCTCCGAATCAACATATTTCTCGGAATATATATATATATATATATGTACATTCGTCGACAATAATAGGGAATAATCTGTACAAATATTCGAACGACGCCGCAAAACCGTGGACACGCGAGAATGAGAAGATCGACGGCGAGGGATTCGGAAGAAAAGAAAAAAAAGTAGGCGGCGTTCGAAGTTCTCGAGTTTTCGAAAAGCGAAGAAAACAGATCGACGATGTCTCCCCTTCCTCCCAACCTCTCCGGCTTTCTCAGCGGCCGGCACGAACCGTAAAATCGCGGTTAGGAATATAATTTATTCCGCGCGTTGATCCACCTCCCCGAGCATATGCGTGCGAGTATCCTTCATAACATTCAATTTTTTAACACTTTGATGTCGGTTGACTTGACTATACGTCTTTTCGAAAAAAAATATTTTCTCAAAAAATGTCGACAGACATCGAAATAAGGTAAAACGTGGAAAACAATTTCTATTTTGTATTATAAGTTAAGAAAACTTATTTTCTCTTATTAAGTAGTATATTAAATACATAGCAACCTTTTTTTAATCATGCCACAACTCAACGCCTCCAAGATCTCGATACTCCCCTAGCATAGTAGACAAAGTTCTTAAAAAGTTTTAACATTAATAGCTGCTTGGAATAAAAAAAAAGGCACACAGGTAAAAGTGTTATCGTGAAAATAATCAAATTGCCCCTCGGAGGGGCGTACACGCCCCACATTGGCAAACAGTAATACAAAAAATTGATGAAAAAAGTGCAAATAAAAAGTATTCCTTCTGATTCCGTGCGATGTTTGGAGGAAAAGGTTCCAAAGAGTTGTCGCGAGCCCATGACCAACCGGGAGTGGTAATAAAATATCCACTGGGGAAGTAACGTGGTGTTTTGTACGGGAACAACGGGGATTGCGCAATCGCGTAGGAAGACAAAAGAACAACCACGAGCGAAAGAAAACAAAAACATGGCGACGACGTAACGACTGGGACGATGAAAGTTCTCGGATGGTTATTCAATCAGGCTATCCGAGCCAGAACCATCGTCGCCGGAACAACAATGACTATTATTTCTTATAAAAATAGTAATGCTGCCCGATGATCGAGGAAACTTTTACTTTCTTCGAATGATCGTTTTTCCCTCTTTCTTCCGGCTGTCCGAATTTCCGTACGTTTCCGAAAAATAAAGAGATCCTACCGAGTGACCCTCAAAATAAATGTCGTAATGTAAATTTAGGGTCACCCTGTATAAATATTTCTAGTAAGTTTGTCTAACGAGTTCGGTATAGTTTGCTTCTCTGAGAGGTCTGATATGTTTCTTGTTATTCGGAAAACGACTTTGCGTTGCAGATCGGTTGGATCCGGACTATAATAAACAGACGGTACATTGAAATTATTGACAGCTATTTCATTCAACGTTTCTGAAGTTAAAAGTCTTTTTTGTCGCACACTGACGACAACGCTGTCTTAATAATTTGGTCGACCGAACACTGTTACCAGTAATTTCAATGCGATTTAATCTTAATCACTTATACGTCACACGCAAAGGACCATTCGCCTTTGATCCATGCTCGAGGAGATCATCTGACGCGCGTCTGTGTGCGTTGGAACGAAGAATTCGATAATATTAAACACTATTAAAGAGAATAAACGTCGAGACAATCCGTAATATCCCAACAGTAAGACTACAAATTTCACGTTTCAGGACCGACGAATGAATTTATCCCGCCTCGATTTCTCGTTGATCCATATCTCCCCAAGATCTTAAGATTGAAAACGAACGCGCTAATTTATTCCTCCGACCAGATTTTAGTTTCCAGAGTCAACATTTCTTCAGTTCATCACCCCAGAAATTACGGAGACAGCCTCGAGCTTAAACCAATATGTTAGAATTTTCAAAGTAATATGGCGGAGTTTTTAAAGCAACAAAAAAATGTATAAATAAATATTTGTTTAACGATCAAAACGATTATCTGTTGTTCGAGATCTTAAGATCCAAGAGAGAATAATAGCGGAGTTTTCGTTCGTCGCTTCTGAAGAACGAACAGCTCACGCTGAGCGAACCCACGTCGACGCTGTGTGCAAGACAACGCCATCTGTCTTTTACAATTGTGTTTGCTTTTCTCCCTTCACGCCACCCCATTCGCTGGTAACACGATTTGTTTTCAGCGGGTATTATCTAGTACACCGATGGACGAAACGGATCGGCGAGAATAATCCCAGCCGGGACTTATTCTCGCGCATTAAATACTCTATATGTTCACCCCTTCCCCCGACGACACTGTCAGCGGCTAACGCGCGCTGCCTATCGAAAAAAAAAAATGAAACGCGCATTCCTCGCACGTTTTCTTTTTTTTTCCTTTGATATGCTCGAAACGCGATGCTCCCGTTCCGACAGGATACTTTCAAGAGCTTTTTTTATCTAACTGCTGGCTGGTGATGGTCTTAATGACACAGTTATCGATAGCTTTATGATATTAACATCAACATACATTATCGATGTATCAGTAAAATATCAATATTATTAATCGTATCAGCAGCATTAGTAGTCCCGATAGTCACGATGGTATCGCTAATATTAATTTCATTCATGAAAATGTAATCAAACATACCATTCAGTGAAGTGATTCATCTAATAAAAACTACAATTGTATATCAGAATGAATAAAAAGATAAGATATAAATATAAGAGTTTTTTGCTGTTCACATTCTACTGATATATCGATAACTGAGTTCTTTTAAACAACTTTATCGATAAGATATCGGTAACTGATAAACCCATTTCTACGGCTGATTGGTCCAGAGGGAGGTCAAGCACACGTTCCCTGAACAAGCGAATTCTGAGCCATTTATTTACCTTTCTTGCTCGACTGACCTAAGTTTGTTCTCCTTTAACGGAAAACATTCTTTCACTTTCGAAATTCAATATCGCAGGAAATAAATATACAAAGTATCCGGAGACCTACTGGAAAAAAAAAAGTTGCATTATTCATCTGGCTGTTAAAATAAATTGAAAACTTAATTAAAATTCATTATATTAAACTTGTTTCACACTGGATCCACAGTGTGATTATAACCTTTTGTCACAGATCATTTGTCGAGCGATACTTTTTTTATTCTTTTTCTCGTACGATGTAAACGTAATTAAAGAAATAGTATATATTATTCGTTGATACACCAACAGACTTTTTCCAGAAAAGCCTATAACCATGTGTGTCATAATCGAGAGCAATGACATTTTCGAAAAGATAATAATAGTCTTGAGAATAAATATTTTCACAAAACTGACTTCCCTCTTGACTGTCCTATCCGCACATCAAGACTCATCACCGCGGCGATTCCACGCAGCTACGTTCGACACGTTTCTCTACCACAACTGTTACCAGAAAAAGACTATCTAGATTGAAAAACACCGTATTAAATTCTCGATGTACTTCCTCTGACCTATCGAACGGAATACCAGTAACAATGTGCGTGGTATGCCTCTGAGAAATCGTCAACAATATTACTTTCAGCAATGTTCGTGAAACAATAAACGGAACCCCATCAAAAGTATCACTCAGGCGGCTTTGAACCATCGGTATATAGTGACAGTCATTCAGTTACAGCCCACCTTAAGCAACGTTCGAACTTGATTATCATTAACTCTGTAGGTAATGCAAAAACTTCTATACTTTACACTAACCTCGGAAGTCCTTTAGATATTAGTAGATTGTTGCACACGAAGTTACGGATAGATTAATAAATTAAAAATTCTCGGTCGAAACAATGTCAAATTCAGTTTGTACACCAATATCTTAATGAAAAAGACAAATTCATATCGCTATATGTGACACAAAACTGAATATGAACTAAGTTTCACGACAAATCAAAAAAGCACAAAATCCAGATAGTTCAGAGTTCAGTAGTGACTGGAATACATGACATGACTTCACATCACAGAGTGCAACGATCATTTCGTGTGCAACAGCCTTAATGTCAAGAGCTTGACCGGTTTCATAGAAACCGCCCTGTAACAGTCGTTCCGAGAACATACCACGCGGGGGATGTTTCGTTTATCTCGGTCGAGGTGATTGGGAAACTACGGTTTTCTTTTTCAGGCATTCTCCCCTAGCTAGGAATCTCTACTAGTGGGAAACGAAGTGTTTCTCTCAGTCTATGTCGATCACATCTGGAGCCTCGGTCGATTCCTTACGGCCGCGCATCTTCCGGCGCAACAGAACCGTTCTCAGGATGCTCGGTGATCGTAGACCCGCGACTTCCGGCCGCGGGGCATGCTGCTACGCAGCCTTTTGTCTCTTTCTTTGCTCCCGTCGCGTCAGACTCGAGGCCCCTGGACTGCCCGATGTGCCGGCTTTCTCGCAGTCGGCTGTCGGTAAGGGTTTTAACTCCCTGTAGGAGAAAAGACAATTTCTTTACACTCGATGGACGTAGACACGTGCAGGAAGATACCACCTAAACATCAACATCGAGAGGAGGATAGGTGCAGGATAGACGTAAGATGCGCGAGGTAGATTCGTGTCACATGATCGAGGAGATTATGATTATACTGACCAAAGCATTAGTATTTTAGGGACTAATTGTGAAAAATTATTGCGGTGTACAAATCACTTTCACACACTCCGATGTTAGATCTCAAAAATTGATCTAGGATGCAAAGGAACTAAATTATGTCGAACCAAGGGGGCACAGAGACTTGGACTAGTCCGATTCATACCCCAAAACTTTGAATCAGTACCAAACTAAGACATACAATACCGATTTGGAAAAAAAAATTGTACTTAGAGAACGGAATGGGACTAATTGTAAGTGAAGACCCTGAGAATAAGGTTTGGGTACTCCTTAGACCCAAGGATTCACAGTTGAGGATTCTGGGCAGACTGAATCGAACTTAAGGACTCTGACCAGATTGAATGGAACCTAAGACTTCCCAGACTCAGAACTGAAAGCCATCCAGGGCATGGTACCCGGGCCCTAGATTCCACAGACCCAGAGATCCAAGGCAGAGACCCCCTGAACCCAAGTTTAAAAAACACCCCAGGTAAATGTTGCATGTAACTAAATCACTGTGACACAAACTTCAATAAAACGTTACCTCTATCCTACCCTTTATAACAACATATTAACATTTAAAAACAGAGAACAAACAAGTAGTGTGTTAGATTCATTGGAAGATTGGACTTATCATACCAACATCGAGATTTCATTTTAAAGATAACATCAACCAACAGGAAAGTATGTGCTGTAACGGATGTGTTTCTATAATCAGTATGTTCTCCACGTGTCAGAAGTAAGGACATTCAGACAAGAAATCAAAAGCTTGTTTCTCTTTCTGAAGGCCATCATCAAGGTCACCGTGGAGAATCTCCCTTACAATCATTCTTACCCGGACTCTAACAGGTGTTCGGATAGTGTCTTCTCAAAATTTCTCTTTACTGACCTCCAAATCACTGGATCAAATAAAATTCGGCAAATGAATACAGTTGAAAAAGCATGAGTCACAGAAGAAACGACAGAGACTCTTTTATATTTAAACGTTTCATAATAATTGTAATTTCAGTAAACGATCAGTGTGCACCGTTTTAAAAGAAGAAAAAATAGAAGAGCGTAAGAGTCTCAGCAAACATTGGATAAAATCTGTGCTCAATCGTGTACCTGTAATTAAGTAGCTCCTCGTCGTCGGGCACTCTGGATATCAGATCGAGAACCTCGTTGTTCGGAACCGAGTGAGGCCGGATGATCTTTCTGAAGAATTTATTCACGCCCCACGCCAAGATCAGATATCTGACCGGTATGAAATACAGTACAGCGGCCCCAAGGATCACCAGCACTATGGCCACGTAACTCAGATAGGGGACGGTGAAATTGAAGAGATTCTTCACCCTCTCGCAAAGGCTGGCTATGTAACCGATCGAATTCTGAACGGTCTGGGTCACCTCCTGAATCGCCTGCAGTCGTTCCTTCAGACTTTTCTTTTCTTCCTAAAATACAGACATCCACGCAACGGATCTTTATTGTGTGGGCATAGAACAGTAAATGGAAGTTATTATTTTACATAAACATAGGAGTAGAATTACTGATTACAGAAATAGTTTCTTTAAAATATTTAAAGTTATACGCTAACATGACAGAGTATATAATTTCTTTGGTATACCTTGTAGGTCTAATAGAATGTCTTCAGTGTATACACTGTGTTGGATCTTTAAGATGTACCAAAGAAATTATCTACTTTCAAGTTAGACGTCTGTCAGCAACTTTTTTTATATGATTATTAAGTGTTTTAAGGGTACTCACTTTGTCTTTGTCGTCGTCGTCGTCGTCATCGTCCCCTGGAGTGGTCGGACCATCGTCACCGTCGTCGTGGAAATGGGAACCGGAGTTGTGAGAAAGAGGCGTGCCGGTGATCACCGCGACCTGTCCGGAAATCCATTGATTCAGTCCACCCCGATCGCCGTTAAGCTGGACGAAGTAGCAAACAAGGTGGACATGCAGCGATGCAGGCAAAGGTCGTCAAGCAGTTTTACTTATAAGGGGGGCGGGTCACTTGAATGGAAGACCGAATACCGTCCGAATTTTCGGGATCACATGCACAATCATACAGGGTGTCCCACCTACTTCGATACATTTTTGTAGACGGCAAATGATTTTTTTTTTACTTAATATAGAAATAATAATAGACAATAATGGATTTTTGGTAGTCAAGGTCACATGAAGATTATACTATGTACTATAGGTCACTGGATCGGTCTTAAACTTAAGTATTACACAACGATGATCAAAATATGTTCCCATTTAAAAAAAACATCGATGACCTTGAAATTTTGAAAAATATGACCTACAAAAAATTAGTTGCACAGTACTTGCCCCTCCTAACCAAATAATGTTTTCCTCTCACATTTTTTGCTATCTTCACAAACAGGTGAGATATGAAAAGGTGGGGCACCCTGTATAATAAATTTCACCGCATGAAAATCCTGAAACGTTCGTAGAAATGCTATTACCGATCTGCAACAAAATTCCAAGCAAAGTAGTACAGATCCCAAACTTTTGGACAGTTCCGTGCACATTATGTACATGTACTTCTAGATTAAATGGTCTATAGGGTTGTGTTATCTAAGCAACGTGGGGCTATAAGCATTATAGTAAATGTAGAAAATATTTGGGAATTATATCTATTGTAAATTCATGCTATTTATATACCTCTGCTAATTTTCCAACTTTATCGATCTTAAGGGGGGATACTAATTTCTCCTAGCTAGCATTAGTTACAGGTGTAATAGATAGGGCTTTTCTACCTTGTCGACAAATGTACATAAGTTTCCTTTCTGGAAGCTGAACACTACATACAGGTAAGTGTGTACTCGAATTGTTAGGAAGTTAAATGTTGGAATTGTTATTGGAAAGAATTTACATTTGTTACAGGCACTTGGAATTAGATAAGATTAATGAAAAAAAAGAGAGTATAAAGTTAGTAGAGTTAAAGTATTCAAAGGGTTTCAATAACTCGAGTAACCATTTTGTGGAAAGCTACTAAAGACACTGATGCTCTATTCTCCTGGAAATTTAATTGGATAAGAGCCACCTCTAGTGTACATAAGAACGAACTTAGTCATTAACTGTAAACAGGAAACCGTTTGAGGTAACTAAAGAAGTTTTATTGAACCGTGTGTACATGTAACTTCTTTGATATCTTCAAGTAACTTATTAATCGGAGCATCTTTCATCCAAAGTACACTTAATACTTGAATTTTTAAACCTATAATTCAAAGCTATAGAAAAATGGATTACGTATAATTAGTGTGTTCTACTTTTATTCTAACATACGATATAACAATCTTCTGCATCAGTAAGTTTACAAGACGGTTAATAATCGATAAAATGGCTTCCAGAGGAACTAGTGAAACACTCTGTATAAAATTATCGTAAGTAAAATATGGTGTACGAATAAAAAGTTCGTTCAGTGTGTTAATAAATATTTAAAGAATAACAAAATTTGAAAATTTCATCCTGTCCACTTACCAAATAATATTTTAGAAGAATAAGTAGCGCCGCGCCAGGGATCATATATGGTTCAAAGTAGTAACAGCCAAAAATGAAGAGAACGAACGCGAAGATGCTTCTCATTTTACTTTCCCACTCCCAGCAGCTCCTGAGTGCATCATCAAACACAAAATATGTATTCTATTCGCGTCACTTTCAGTCGGGACAGAATATAAGGGTCTATTAACTTGTCTGGCAATCAGTTTCAATGGACCATTAAACAGTCTGGCTACATTAGAAATATGCACAGCGTTACCAAATTGAGGGATTTCGAGGGAAAATGGCAGACTATACTGTCATGGTAGTGAGGGAAACTAAAGTAATGACGGCACAACTGTAGCGTTGCAATTGATAACGACATTTGTCTGGGCTTGGAGTCCGCCTGGTGATAGGTTATATTATGGTTTTCATTACTTCACTTTCTCCCACTACCAAGATAGTACCATCCGCAATTTTCTCGAGTTGAGGAATTTTGCTGGCCACGATAGATATAAATAGTAAACTACATACTGTATGTATTTCCCAATGTCGATGAAGATGATGATGATCGCTTTCAGCCTAAGCACATTCCGTAAAAACACCTGTCTCTTGAACTTGATCTCCGGCTCCATGTATTTCTTCTCCCTGGGATTCAACGTTCGGACACAGGCCCTGATGAAATTCCAGACAACGGTCAGCTCCAACAGGATCTGCGGCGAATTTCCCTTGGCTCGACCTCTAAGCTTCTTGTCCTTCAACGCGTACCACCTTTTCTCGCCGTTTCTGATTCTCAACAACGGTATGGCGACTTTCCCGAGAAACTCTACTTTGTGGTCCCTGTCCTCGTCGTACACTGTCACTTCTAGCACAGCATTAATGTCCTTTACGTTGCTGAAAAACACGCGGTTACAATTGCCTTGAGTGACGATATGTGGATATTTGACACTAAATTCCTAAGAGATAGACAACATATATTCGGTACTAGATATCTAATCCTAAATTCCATATTCAAGGGAGAATTTTTTAATCGGTTCATTACACCGAATTCCAAATACTAATAATTCTTATCCCAGATTATTACAAGGTGGGGCTACGATCACTTACAAGGTGAATATCTTCTGCCAGTTTGGCGCAAGAGTCTTGTACTCCGTTTGAGTCTGTAACCTGGAGTTAACCAGCTCGAGGACGCAGAAGGGATCGCTTTTCCCTCCCAAATCGGCCGCTGCGAGGCCTTGAGCCTTGAATACCTGTACAATAATAAAAATTCCCTCAACCCTTCAATCTATCAATATTTCCCTATAACGACCATGAAATCCATTTATAATCCCTCTGAGAATAAGTGTATACCTTAAACATCAACCCATTAAGAGAATTTCAATGGAAATACCTTCACAGTCAAGTGACCAACATCTCGTATCCTCTGCAACGTGTTCACCATTGAATATCTTTGGTATAATTGCTCCCGTTCGCGAGGCGTGTCCTCGTGAGCGGCCAGATCGCTGATGGTCTCGCTGGCCGTGGTGCCGCTGATGGTTAACAGCAGAAATATGTTCCCAGACCCATCCTCCAGGTCACGCCACAGACGATGCGTGGTCTCACGTTCGAGGATCGCCAAATTGATCACCGTTCGTCCCATCATATCGTCCTGATGGCTCTTGTCCCGATCCCAAACTGTCACCTCCAACTCCTGGCCTAGGTACGGGTCTTCGTACAAATGAAGATCGAACTGCTCCAGCCATACCGGATTCAGGGTCTTGTGCACCACTTTCGACTTGTACTTCTCTGTTCCCAGTCTGAAACCAAATGGGCAGGTGGCACGTCAACAGAGTCGAAGCTTGTTCTATAGCACCAATCCAAGGTCTTTTCACGGAAACACTAAAAGGTAAGGTAATAAGTAGGCCTCTGTAGCATCAGCTGAGAGATGAAGGTAAAATATGTGACTTCGTAGAGAAATTCGTTGATCTTGAGGATTCGAAAATATTGACCTTCAGAATTGACAACTATTCACCTTGAGGAGTGAGAAATATCGATCTTCAGAACTGAGAAATATCGACCTCAAAAATACTGACTTTAAAAAAAAAACTGTTTATATAACTCATATCGTAAACTGATTACTGTACTTTTAGTAGTAAGAAAATTATTCAGGTGTTCTGTCTTACGATGGACCACCTATCGGAGCTTTTACAGTATCGATTACCGTGTCGAACAATGAAGACACTGAAACGGGTAAATGTCAAACTTCCATGACATGTCAAACGGTACATGTATATCGGACAGGTTACTGAATCGATGGATGGTTTTCACAGTACAGTTCGAACAAAGGGGTGAATTCACAGTTGATTAAAACGTCGGAAATAAGTCTACCGATTAATAATTCCGTACCGAAACTTGACATAGGGATCCGAGAGACCGTCTATATCCATCGGCAGCAGATTCTTTGCCTCTACGAGTACAATCGTCACCACGGAGCTCCATATCTGTGACTTCAATCGTCTATTTACGTCCGCCAATCGGTTGGTCCTCTGGAAATACTGCAATACAAAAATAAGACACGTTACATTTGGACGGAAATGTCCTCACCCCGTTAGAAAAGGAACGGGCATCGATTCCACAAGACACGTGAAAATCATTGTCGAAGGTTACACTTAAGCCAGTTTCCACTCGAGACTAGACTCTGAATTTTAATCGTGATGAAGTAAATTGTAGCTATTTGATGGTAACGTCTCCACATGGGAAAAACACTTGAGAATTACTCTTAGGGCGATTTCCACTTGAGGAATAGATTTTTAATTTTAGTTGTGAAAAAGCAAGTTGTATCTATCTGAAAGTAACGCTACGTCTCCACATGGGAGTAATTCTCGGGATTAACTTCCAACCTTAGACGTATCTCACCCGACACAGTGTGTTCCTTCGCAATCTATTCTACCAAAACAATTCGAATCTCTACCCTATGAATATCCTCCATTTTCTCTTTAACATTGTCCCTCAGCTTGTCGAACAGATCCGGATGCCTGGCGTCCTTCACCTCCACAAAGCCCTCCGGCCTCGTCATATTTGTATCCTCGCGGGTCGTCGAGAACTCCGATTTCTTCAATCTCGCGATCAAATGGGCAGCATCGAACACCGGCTTCGGCGAGACGGCTCTCCGTATTTTCTTCGGATTCTCCACTCTGCACTCTATTTTGGGCTCCTCGTGCTCGTTGGCGGCAGCCGTGAACTTGATCTCGAAATCGGGCGGCTCGATCCTCGACCGTTCGTTCGCCGATCCCGTGGTGGTCTCTGTAGCGGCGTTGTTTCGTCGATCATCGATCGCCATTTTCTCACCAAACGAATGTATGCGACGATCGACGATCCAGTTCTCGATCGACGACAGCCACGGATGCTTCTCGACATTTTCCTCCAGGATCTTCTCCACGTGACCTTCCAAGATCCTCTCCACAGAGCCGATTTTCTTCCCGAAAGATGACTTCAACGACTCTATCGTCCGTTTCTCTTTCACTATTGGCTTCTCTATCGACAGACCTTCGATCCTCGACCCACAAGACCCTCCAGGATCTCTTGTCCGAAGGCTCTCTAGTGAACTCCATTTTCTGGACGACGGATCCAACTCCTTCGAACGATCGATCGTCCTCTTCGCCTGACATTTCCCATCATTTTCCGAACCCACGAGGCAATTACTCTCGAAACTGTGCGAGAAACATTTCGAGACGTCCTCCACTTTCTCGCTATCATTCTGCGAACATGCCGTTTTTCCTTCATCTATCTTCATCGAGGCGTCTCGATCATCGCCCACAGTGTTTGTTATTTTCGATCTACCAGGTGTCGATTCGCTTTCAGTCGACCGAATCCCGTCTAGACGGTTATTTTCATCGTCACTTTTCCCATCGAAACCATATCGACGATCCTCCGACGAATCAAATCGCGCGTGCCATATCGCCTTACGCAAGATGGCGTCCGTCTCCTCTTCTGAACGGCCATTATCATTCGATTTCTGCGTGAACCTGTCTCGATGAGTCTCCCAGAATCTCGTCCATTTGTTCTCCACACTTTCCTCCCTGATCACTTTAAACGATCTCGATGATCTAGACGAGTGATCCTCCCCGTGGATCGAAGCCTCCCCCGCGATTATGTCACTCACCTTGTCGCGTTTCTTAAATAAACGTCTGGCTGGTCTGAGGACCACCAACTCTGGATCGATCTCACCCTCGATCTCCGTAGATCCATCGTTCACACGATCTTCCGATTCGTCTTCAGTTTCTGGTCGATCGGTATTCGATACAATCGGTACGTTATCCACGATTTTCGTGTAGACCCCGCTCGACTCTTTGAAATCGGTCCCTTTCGGGTCCGTTTGCGAATTACTCATTTTCGTATCGATTCGAACGACGATCGTGGAATACAATCGACTGTTGCTCGTTTCATGCTCGACCCATCGAGCTGCAAAAACATATGTCCACCTCCTCCTCACGGTTATTGCTGTCTTACGTAAATAAGAAGTTGTTTTCCCTCCGGAACAAACACACGAACTCGCTTGTCTAGCTCTAATTGGTCTTCACGTCACTCTTCGCGAAACGATCTATTCGCGTTACACGCTGAACACAATGGGCGGTTCGACGTCGATACTTTTACAGCGGGTAATTTGTCTCTTGAAACGTGTCTTGGTTTTATCGATGTTTCCAAATACAAACTTTCGAGTTCTCGTGAATTCTAGAGTCTTCAGTTTCTGCACATTCCTACAGTGAACGATCAAATCGCTTTCTTGGGTAAACCTTTTTTTTCTGGAAGATTTTTCACTGTAAATTTATGTCGATCCAAAGTACGTATCAAATAACATGCACAAATATCAATTTTGAGTTTAGGAATCTATTCATTGAAAAGTTATTAAGCAAAAAAGACTCGGAAATTTTCTCAAGTTAAATCAGTCTAATGCTTTGAAAACAAAAACACAAAACAACACGGGAAATAGTATTTATTATACAAGCACAGATCTATGATTCGAGTCTAACAAACTCAAACCACTGTGTTTACAAATTTAAACGTGAAAGGTGAACTCTACTCGTATCCCTCCCACAACCAATCATATGCAACAATCACCGTAACTGTCACAACAATGGTTAGAAAATATATAAAAATTTCGCAACCTTTTTTTCAAAACTCACAATTGGTATAGTTAAACTCTATACAACAACTAGTTTCCATAAATGTAAATTTCAACAAAAAAAGAAAAAAGGATTCCCAGAGGAAAAGTTCACATCCCTTCTTTACTACGCGCACAACACACGATTGGTCCTTTTAATTGAAAAATATGAATTGTATTAGTTAAAATGATAAATATAAATTGTATTAGTTGAATTAATCCCTACTGATTTAATTGAAACAAACATTTCAATTAAGAGTATTTCGTATTTCCCGCCAGAATGAATTTTCACTGAATTTAAACCTTTCACTTTCCCTCGCTGGGTGTTTAACCTCTTCCGCCTCGTTATTTAATACCACACGTCCAACCAATTCACAATATTAAAACAGGCGGTAAATTCATGAAACGTATTTTCAACGCGTCACAACACAGTTGGTGGGATCGATCGATCCACGTCGAGAGAAAGAAAGAAAAAAAAAACGAGTGTCACGTTGCCGGGAAATAGCGTGCGAGCAATATGTACACACCCGCGATTATACGCGTTGCAAGAGAACCCAGAAGCCGGAAAAAAACCAACAATCCAGCCCAGATACATACAACACACGCGAAGGAACCTTTCGAATCAGCCGCCGACATTCAAGCCGGTCTTTTGTTGGCGTCGATCCAGACCACGAGAAAAAGAAAGATTGAATATCCGTCCGCGGCCCTGCACAAATTAACTGGCCACTTAACGGCCATGAGTCATCGCAGACCGTGGTCGAATGTCACGGATCGACTAGTTTACACTTTGAACGTAGTTCCATAACTTCCTCGATCGCATCATGGTTAGCTTTATGTTTAATAAAAATTTTAAACACATTTCGTGATGTTAATCACTCTAGCAAATGAACAGTTAAATTTCTTCGTTCATTTTGTTTACTCGATTTCAGGAATTTTTACGCCGTTTCACGGCCTTTTCGTCCACTTGCAAAATCCCCTCCTTTGACCCCATATTAACACACAATTAAAAGATGATAATCAAATTTCGTAATCGCTATTTCCTTATCGCTAAACACACTGCTCGGAATAATTGACGAACAGTCAACACACGGAAGTTACGACCAAAAATTGTTCATAATTTCTAGGATAGAAAGTACGTGCCAAATAATGAAAACAAATGTTTAATAAACATGCATCGAAAAATTAATATTTTCAAAGTTATAAACAATTTTTTTTCTCGGTCAAATCGAGTAACTCACTTCGGAAGCTATCAGTTACCGTACGAAACAATGAAGAGAATTCTAAAAAAAAAAAAAGAAACAAAGATTGTAGAAAATATTCACATATTACTGCCTCCTTTCTTTCTTAACGTGCACTGTGTCCGTCAGCAACACTAGAGTTCCTTCCACCGGGTCACCGGCGACCCGTCCACGAACATAACCTCACCGACTTTTAGACGCAACGGCGAACTGATTTTTTCTAGGTAAGAATTACCACAAGCCTTCAGTTTTCACGATAAACACTTCCAGAACCACCGTTTCATAATACATCCAATAACATACTGTGTTTGTTAGATTGTCGAACTTTTCACCGGTAACCACATGTTGTAAACGACACAAAACGATCACAGTTATCAGTCAAAATTCACTCGACCTTCAACTGCCACGATTCGTAATCCAATGATAAGAATATTATTCTTTCGAAAATACGGGATATCACATTATAACCTTAATATTAGGAAGAGCTATTTACACCGTTTACGGAAACTACGTGTTCGAGGCGATCCAGGAACCAGCGTTGAACGTTGACTGTTTTCGCGCGCAGTTACGCCAACGGAATTCGCGTGAAACAGGCGAGGCACAGAGCACAGCCGGCAATTAGTGCGCGTCACCGACAAAAACGCAGGAAAAAACAACCACAGACGGTCACCACCACACAAAGAACCGCGCTTTCTCAGCGATCGTCTGTGACTGGCACACGATTTAACGAGCGGCGGTCTAGTCTCTCGGTTCCCCTCTCCACTGACCACATACGAGCAGATGTAAATATTACGATATCGCGTGTATACGTGCGTCTCTGTTATGTCGCGGTGGCGGACGGCATCTAGGCCAAACACTGAGACGCCGGAAACCGTGCCACGTTTTTGCCTGTTTTCTTGCCAGTTTCGTCACTGACAATTAATCGACATACATTACGTAGTAGGGATGTCGAGTCACTTCGAAGAATCGATTGTCGAATTGAATTATGAAAATCGATTCTACTAAAAAATCGAAACCAAAGAATCGATTTAAAAATCGTAAAAAAATCTATGCATATACACAGATTTATATACATATAAATAAAAAACAATTATTGTACTTTTATTTGTTAATGTTTTAAAAAAGATTTTTGTACGATTTTTTAATCGATTCTTGCCGAGTATAACGGTGGAAGCAATAGATAATTGCTTCGAGTTCGAATGAAAACGTTTGACGTTGAACAAACTATCAACTTCCACTAACAAAAAAATTCAACATTTCTGTCTGGAACATTCGATGGAAGATTACATCGAGCATGACCGTTGTTGCTTCCTTGGTCGAGGATAGGGAGCGGCAGTTTCAACACCTTTTATCTAATATTGATCATGACATTAACATGACACACGGAGAAACCCCTGGTGGAGGCGGCAATCGCAGACCGAGTTCATTCATCGTGTTTGCAAACCAGATCGAAGCGATGACGGGGGATCCGCACGGATTACGGAGTCATGCTTCTATGTTATGTAATGTCGTAATGGGGCTTACGTGATCATCTCTGACAAACTGAATTCACTTGGTATAAACTGTCGACGACGTGTTACCCTTTTAAATCAGGCGAATCCATAACACGCGTGCCATTATCAATACAGTAAAGACTCGATAAGAGTTGGATGAGAAGTTCCTTGTGAGAGTTTCTACTACCTGGTGAAAGTTTCGAAGCGGACTCGAGTTTCAAACTCTCATGGAGTCTTAACTTATATACACTTGCAATTTAAAAATTGATTATTTTGGAAACGAAGTATCGTCTGTGGTTTCGTTGGTTATTTCAATATCGATACGATTATAACGAGGTTTTCCCGAGGCGTGTTTATAGGGAGGGAACACTGTTAAGAACTGCAAAACTGCATCAGATACAACTAGAAACGAACTTATCGGGGCCAAGGACAAGGAATCCTGTGTTTTTAGGTAGAAACAATATCAACAAATTTGCATGCATATCGTGGACGAGTACATAGGGGTACAGTCGTATCTTTCTGGTTCGTAGTGAGTCGCCAGGAGAATTTTAATGCGGTATTGCCCGTGTCTACTGTCTCGAGGGGACGCTACTTTTGAAGGATTGATGGGCCTTCCGTTTAATTTTCGAAATTTTTTGGCTGTTCATCACGAAATGTTAAGAAAATAAAATTAAACGACAGAGTTGACAAAACCGAATTGAAAATCACATTTCAACTTGACATCCTGTTCACGATGGCGGTTCAAACGGCTACGAAGCAAGGCATTAATTTGCTCTTTGATTCATCGTCGGGAGTCGCGGTCGTTTCCATGTAACGAAATATCGAAAAACGATGAGTTCCCCCACAGACCTCGAGTGTCAAGAATCGGGGACGTATTCGAAAGTAAATTGGATGGTATGTAATATCTTACCATCGAATTGAAGTTTGATTCGTTCTTCGGTATTTCATTCAATATTTCAATTAAATTCGGGAGACGTGTTGCTGATCGACATTCGTTTGAACCCTTTCGTTGTTTATGTCGAACATATACTCGTCAGGAAAAAATGGCACTTTTTACCATATGTTTATAACTAGTATTTACAAAATTATTTATCCCTGATGCCATTATTACCACTCAATTTCTGAGTAAATTTCACCCTAAAAAACATGCTACATCGGTTCAATTTTCTTTTTTATTCTCTTCAAGTTCTTAATCATCGCAAATTCAAAATCCCAATTCGCACTATAGCGTGATGTTTGCATATGCTGAATGATGGAATGTGATTTCCGAGGCCTAATATCTAAAAAAAAGAAGGGGGGGGAACTATGAAATTCAATACCTGTTCTTTCTCCTGCTGGTTCCTCGGCCATAGGGTCGCCGTCAGATAGATCTCGCCGAGATCTTGCTTCGGCCTGGCCGGATCCTTCAGTTCCAGCACGACATCCTGTGGCTGGCCAAGATCCAGCTGCGTCAGATCCAACTGGGCGGCGCCCATGAAATCATCCTGAAGGCCCCAATCGTAGTCGAAGACCTGACGAAAACGACGAAACTCGATTTCCCGATCAGAAAGACAAAGCAACAAGAAACAGTGAGAACATCCGGTGGGGAAAATATCTTTTCAGTCAAGACACTCCAGACCTAATGATTCATTAAGACGAAAAAGCTCTAGGGGTAAAAAGAAGACTTCGACAAATCAATCGAATTCGAGGGGCTTTTCGAGGATTAACCTTGTTAAATAAATTATTCCAGGTTACTGAACAAGCGTTACCGTACGCTTACTTCGGACGGCGAACGAATACAGGTGCTCGAGATTTACCTTGATTGTGAGCAACTGAAAAGGGTCTTCGATGGGCAAGGTCACGCTCTCGTCCCAAACTGGATTCAGGTCGCGGTGAACGGTCCGCGACTTGTGCAGCAATCGACCAGAGCATTTCACTTTCACGTAAGGATCGCTGGCGCCTGGAACCAACGGAATTCGTGATTTGAGCAATTACAGACGACCCCGTGATCTATCGATATACATTGAATAACGTCCACTATATCCCTCGTCCAATAATGTTTCCTTCAACACCAATACGCCTGGGTTATGAATCTTCTATCGAATCACTTCATAAATACCAACGGAAATGCAGTTCGCCAAACGGGAACGAGCAACCTATAAATCGATTCGCGCGATCCCAAAGGTGGGACCGAATAGAGAATAAAAGGAAAAGAAGAGAATCGATATCGTGCAATGGGTTGAGTGGATTCATTCGAAAGCAGAGAATGATAGAATGGAGGGTGGGTAAAATATTCGCTCACCGCATCTATCCATGGCAACGAGGTTCGTCCCTCTTCTGATGTGCAAACGAAGCTGAAAAAAAGCATGCTGCCGCAACGCCAATTCCCTCCTACGGGAGACTTCCTCATGAAGGAACGCGTTATCATCCTGGCCGATCGATCCACGTGCCTCGTCGTTCGATGCCTGGAAGCTCAAGGATCCTTTCGAGTGAGCCTCGCTGCATTTACCAGGACTGTCCTCCAGTCTCGTCACGACGGTCTGCCGTCCGCCCCGCGCCAACGGTGACTCTGCGAATGGAACAAATCGTGTGTGTCGCTCTAGGAAATATATACCGTTCCTGACAGGGATATATTTATCAATAGGGGTACGTTGAAGCAATACAGATTCCTTCTCCTTTGGCTTCTCTATTAGAACTGTAGGTATTCGGATATTCGAACTATTCGAATAATTTATTTTTCTTCGAATACGAAAAATTCGAATACTTTAAACAGTTCGAATACTTTGAATACTTTGAATATTGGAAATATTCCTAACAGTTCCATTGCAGTGTTAATGATTTTATAATTACCAAAATCTTGAAGATTTCACGATAATCTTTACACTATTATAGATTGTATATTATACTGTATTATGTTGTATTGCCTAGATTGTGAACTATTATGAACTATTGTAAAGTATTTTGAATAATTTTGAACCACTATTGTTAACTACTGTGAATCATTATGAACAACTTCTTAAGTCTATTCAACCTAAAGATGACGGATTTCACATTGCAGATTTTACAATCACCGAGATCACGAAGATCCCACGTTTACTTTTAATCTATTACACATTTTATATTACAACATATTATGTTGCATTATCTAAAGGATCTGCATATGGAAATACAACGAGTCAGTTATTCCGTTCTGTCGTAAGTTTTTAATGAAGAAAGTTTTCAGGGTTTGTTCAACATTCTCTTCACACGTTCCTATAGATAGAACACACGCGAGGAGGAAGTTTGACTGTGTAACTTTGAAGCATCCTGTAGGAACTGTCCGCCTTTCCCGAGGGTAGAGTAACAAGTTTCAAAGTTAACGTCCATGAAACTTCGTTATCGACGACCTCGAGTAGAATATTAAGAAACATTTTGTCTTTTTTTTCTCTTTTCACGTACGATCGATTTTACAGTTAATCGATCGCGACTAATTGCAGCTTAATTACCACACGAGGAAAAACGGAGCCCATTAAGGAAAACTGAAGGTATACGATCGTTAACGACGATCTATGCATACTTCGTCGATAGTGATCTTGGCGTGGCCACCAGTTCCAACTACGTAGTAATAATTTTTATGTTCGTATAAAGGATCGTTCTCTGTAATTAATTTTTTACATTTCACGTAAAGTTATTTTTGCAATGCAAAAATATTTGAAACATTCTGGTTTTGAAGATTTGACTCCTAGGTCACAGGTTTAAAAAATGTTTAAAAATATATTTATTTACGGGTAATACGGTTTTATCATTCAAAAAGCCAATATTCTGTAAGTGGTAGCGATTCCTAAAAGGGTATAAATTTCTATAATATCGAAATCTATGAGTTTCTATAATATCGAAATTTCGAAAAAAATGTTTTTTCTTTCGGTCCATATAAGAATCACCAGGTCTAGTTAATAAAAACTGGGATAAGTATGTACCTGGATGATTGAGGCAATGCCTGGCCGGGCTCTGAGTGGCTGAGGAGCTCTTGCTGTGCTCCGACGAGTAATCCGCGGCGTAATCGGATTCGGCCCCTCCCGTTCCCTTGCAGGACGCGTCCTGGCCGTGCGTGGTACCGGCATCCTTCGATTTCTTTCGCTCCTTGCTACGGCTACGGGACCAACGGCTCTTCAAAGTGGCGAAAAATGTGTGCGTACGTTGCGCCACCGACGCGGCGTGACGATGATGCCGATGATGATGTACGACCCCGGAGTCGGGCTGTTCACCGTGTCGCGACGGCGAACTGTTGTCGTTGTTCCGGAGCTCCGTGGCGCTTTTCGAGAGCTGACGGCTCCCGTTCAGGTTCAGTCTGGATCTCTCCTCCGCACGGCTGTTGTCTGGAAATATTACATCCAGTTACGATCGATCATCGTTTTTGGGGTATATAGTTATAGGGTATGGAATAGTAGACTAGGTAGGATATTAGGGTATGGTATGGTGGATTGTGGTCCAAAGAGTATGGGTATGGTGGATTAAGTATTATTAAGTATTATATTGTCACCCAAAGTCCTTTGGAACCTTCCGAACTTCCTGTAATCTGTGGATACCTAAAGCGGTCATAACCTTCCAAGACATTCAGATTCGTCCTGATAGACTCTAATCGGATCCGATGAGATCCAATGGACGGTAATTAGATCGAGCCAATTCTCCAGGTTCCAACAAGATCTGATACCATCTATACGGTACGGTTTGACAGTCTGATTACGAACGACAGAATCTAATAACGTCCGTGTCCGTCCGATACGATCTGATTAAATCCTAAATCGGCCTAGCACGGTCAGCCAGACGTTGGATATTGGTCTACTATTTCCTAAAGGGGCAGGTCCCGATGGGAGCTAACCTAAGTCTCGTATCATTCGACGAAGGCTAATCAGGTCGATTCGGTCCGCTATTGTCCTAGGTGACAATGAAGATTAACAATTGTAAATCTAATTGATAAATCATAGAATCACTGGTGTTTAATAATGCTACGCAGAATAGGAGCAAGGTATTCTTAGATTACAAGGGCTTCGACCTCACATGGAGGAAAGTAACCAGGAACGTCTGACCCTATATATTCGCTACGTATATACATGTATAATATCGTAAGCATGCCGATCGATTTCTATGAGCGCGAGAAAGCCACCCTGAGCCTTTAATCCCTCCAATGAGGCCATTAGAATCTCGTTCACAAAGGAACGTAATTACCAGGCTGCCGGTCGCCTCCACGGAGTCTGTTGTGTCACAGAAAAACAATCGAACATTGTATCCCTTGATTTATTTTTACAAGTTTGCTGGAACAATTGACACGTGAATTGCAACAACAAAATTCAAGTTGGATTTGTTACGAGAATAAATAAAATACCGACAATTCACTATAGTTACGATACGAATGTCAATACACAATTTTAGATTCTGGAGTATCTTTCCAATCGTCTTTGTTGCGTCGAACATGAGGGAGGTCGGTGGGAACAAATAACGAATACCGTTAAGATAGGATAATATTTGAATTATTTCGAAAGAAAAAACAGTGGACCAGGTATTGGTACACCTGGTAATTGGTATTGATCACGGATAATCGAGAAAAGCGAGAGCGGGAACAATGGGTTTTCATGGAAGTAGGACGTTGAACGGAGTTATTCCGTACACGTTACGTAACTGGGAACCCCATTCTATGTATTTAGGAAATTGCTGTGTAAATGTAGGTCTTATTTCCTCCATCGATCCGACACATTTGCGGCGTTTACCATGGGGACCATTAGGAGTGGCAGAAGCGGTGCTTACAATCGTGCTTGAATTTTAAACGACAGTTATCATGTGGAAGATGCAAGATTTAATCAGTACTCTCTCTCTATTATTGCGTTCTGTCAATCTTCCTACAAGTTATAGTATATCTTCCTACCATTTAGATTTCCATAACGCGACATCGAGCTACGTGTTATGTTCCCCTCCAACCATCGTACATCGATACCCTTTTAACACGTCGACTGTCACAGTGAAAAAGGCTGTATATAGTCAGACAAACTTTACTCCGTTTTGTAAGATCCTTTGCATATTCTGGTGTTTCTTGATACCTTGATATCTTGATATTTGGAATATTTTCGAATACTTAGGATATTTTGCATACTTCGAATATTTCGGATACTCTGTATATTGTTAATACTTTGAATGACTTAGATGTTTGTACTTTGGATATTTTTTAATATTCTTGGTGGTGGTGTTCCTCAAGTAATAAACGATAAAAAAAAATTTTTTTCTGGAGAAACCCTATATAATTAGGGTGGAATGTAGGAGATAATTATAACACACGACGAAATATCCGGAAAGGACAGAACTGACCTTAGTGCGTCTAACGTCATTAGATTTCGGCCAGATTCTCCGGAAACAACCTTAATATGTACATCGATCCACGAGGGAAACCAACGTGACATGCAATCTGACCATTAAAGGATATTGCTCTAATCGAATTCATACATGCGATGGAAAACGGTGTATCTCGTGGAATAGCCATCTCACAATGGAGCAATTTTTTTATATAAAAAGAAACGTGACAACGACACAACTTACTTCAACCATAAAAATTGCCATAATTTAGAGGCAGAAAAACATCAATTATACCGACATTCCATTTACAGCAAATAAACACTAGCAGTGAGACGCAGTTGTACAAAACACTTGTGTATACACTTAACATAATCGTGAACATCATACATACAGGGTGAGTCATTAAGAATTCTATCTAAAATAACTCATTACCTAATGGCTGTATAAAATAACGTTTCAATGAAATATGTAGCACTTTAAGGGACGCATCGAATGGATACAATTTGTCTTTTTTTTTTTTAGATATCTGGGTGACCTTGAGTTTTTTCAAGGTACAATGCTTCCTTTCTTTAATATCATCATGTTATTTTAGACAGTAATTCTTATTGACTCATTCTATATGTACTACAAACATCCCTAAAAATTAATATCCCACTTTACGTCCGAAGCTACAAAATTAGTGTCTATAGCAACGTTACAGGTTCACACGATTGAAAAGAGAATACTAACATTTTTTGTGTTGTATTTCTCGAAAATTTTGTAGGTTTCGATCGACTCAAGAGCTCTTTGGAGATGCCTGTCACCCAAGCCATTAAGGGATCCACAGCCTGAGCAAATCAATTAGAGTTCCAGAGGACCACCGTAAACAGGTTAATGTCACGTTCTTAGTGCCAGAGGAGGGGAACCAATGGGGAAAGTACACCAAAAGTAGTCGGAGAACCCCAACATCAACCGTAATCCCGTGCTCGTTCTGATGAGTTACGTTTAATCTCGGCTCGGAGGGCGCTTCGACGAGCACGAATTCTGATCCAGTCGTGTCGGTTCGAGCACGACCAGAACTGAACTTTCTCGTTTCCATCGATCTTCTTAAGGGCGTATTCTCATTCGGAGGGTTGAAGAAATCGATTTTTTTTTATTGTATTTTCTTAAAATATAACACCTTGAATATGTGTTCCCAAACCATTTTTTATTTCAAATTGACTGCCACGATATCTCAATAATGAATTAGTCAATCTACATGTACTTTGACATACATATAAAACAGACGTCTCTTTATCTTGTGAACTACTATAGTTTCTTTATTGCCTGAAGAAATTGCAAATTTAATGTTTTTCTAAAATGTGTGGGACCATAGAAATTGGAACTGATTGTTTTTAAAATTCGAAAAAACAAAATTGCTCTTGGATCCATTAATTCACCGAATGGTAATTAATCTTAGGAGATCGTTAATTTGATAAGGAAAACCTTTATCGGGGCAGTTAAATCTTTTGGCGGGATTTAATTCTTAACAAAATTAAGCCTCGAAAATAGATACTAATCTTGGGACATGTGTCTCTAAATAGTGAAACAATCGAGAGAACCACGTGAACGTCTGTTGGATCGGGTACAAACAACGACCGCAATAATAAATCAGATTTAACGTTTTACGTAATCCTCGGGTGAAACCAGATTTAACACCAATCATCGTCAATACAGCCTCGTTAAGCTTCGTTGACCGTACGGTGTTGAATCCTGATTTTACCCGACACATTGTTACAACATATGACACGGAATCGAGAGAGGAGGAGGTCTATAGGTGTGCTTCCCGATTAACTTATGGCCTGACAGAAGTATATGTATACAGGGTGTGCAGCTAACTAAATTATTTAACTCTAAAATTAAGTGAATTCTAATACTAACAGGTTTGAAGGATACCAAAATCTTCAAGATATTCGAGACCTTCAAACCCATCAAGATCTTTAAGGTTTCCAAGACTTTTAAGATTACAAACACTTTTTCTAAATTTTCGAGGCATTCTAGACTTTCAGACTTTTAAGACTCTTACAACATTCAATACTTTCAAACTTTCGAGACTGTCGAGATATGCGATACCTCCAAGACTTTGAATACTTTGAAGACTTTTAAGACATTGAATACTTTGGAAACATTCAAGGCTTTCAATACTTCAATACTTTCAAGGCATTCAAGACATTCAGTACTTTGATGACTTGCACGAGTTTCAAGACATCCACTAAAAAATCTACCCAGACACCGCTGTCTACGCTCTTGCTCATCTTATCCACCGAACACGCGGATTGTTTTTCGATGCTGCAGCTCGCGGGCCTTTAATCTCTTCTTGAAGTGCGCCAGTCTGCCGCATGCCGGTAGCATGATTTCTCGTCGGTACCGAGGTGTGGGCGGGGGGCAGGATGGGATCGGGTAGGGGCGTTAGGGATTAACGAGCCCTAAGGAGCGTCGATCAGCATCGGCCGCATATTCCAAATTCCCCGTGGGTTCCAACCCGCCGGGGCTGAGAATCCGTCGTGGGCCAGTAATCCTTCCGTCAACGGTTCACCGGCTGGCCCCCATAACTGTCTGGTCGCGTCTTTTCGCGATTCGGGAACGGCCAAGCGCGAACAGAGGAAGCTGCCATGATCATAGATGAAACAATCGTGAGAATGCGTGACGATCAACATCATTTCTTTGTTTTTTTTTTCTTCTTTTTTCTTGCTTAGTACAGAGTGATTCAAGAAAGATGAGTAGATCAATTGTGCAGGTTTACCAAGCAATCTTGAGGCTGGTGGGAAGAGCCGGGAGCCATGCAGGAGGAATTAAGAGGTAAGGGGAGGAGCTAAGAGCAAAGGGGGTGAGTCAGGAGCAAAGGAGGAGGGGTTAAGAGCAAAGGGGGAGGAACCTTCGTCCTCGAAGGCGGTTTCAAGGAGATTCTCGACCGACAACCGATCATATAGCACTGACCAAATATTGATAAACTGTACGTTATAAGAAAAAGAATCACGAAAAGGAATAGCATATGAATTAAATTAACGTTTAATGAATACAAAATAAGTTCAAGGTTTCGTGAAACAAAAACTTGCTTCGAAATAAGTTCAGTTTCAACGAACTGTTAGGACACAATTCATACGATATAAATAATGAATGTCGAGAAATATTTTCGAATAAAATCATCCATGGATTGAATAAAAAAGAATCTCAAAAGTTGAAGAATTTTATAAAATGAAAGATTAGATAGTTTTAAAAATAAGTTAATCAAATATTCGCTTGTAAATTGCTCG